TCAACTCTTTACAGTGATGAGATTTTGAAAAGATATTTGGCACATATGTAGAGCTGATATAGCTCTATAAAGTTACCAGGTGGATTTTTTTTTAAACCTCTTAGATAAAAAGTTATAGCCATTTAAAATTTTGAAACATTTCATGTAACCATTGAGTATAGGCTTCCAGCACCATAATAATAATAATAATAATTAAAAAAATTAATTTAAAAAAATAACAAAATTAACTTAAATGATTCAACTGGCACAATCATAAATAAAATTTATTCGCTTTTTTTAAATTAAATAAATATAATAAAAATTTATAAATCAAAAAATTTTATTTGCCTAATGATATTTGTCTTTAATCAATTAAATTATTTATTAAAATCAAAAGGAGTAAAATTCGAACCTTTTGTTACATGCTGACATTCATGTAACGTATATCTTTCTTGAAATTAAAATTGTATAATTTATCAAAAATAACAAGAAAATTACTACAAAAAGAAGCTAATGAATCAATTTGGCCACTCATTGATTACCCTTATTTATTTCTTTAATTTAATGAAATAAAAAAATTCAAATAAATATATCTAAATCAGTAAATTCCATAGACATCAACTACTAATATACAAAAAAAATTAATAGTCTTATTAATATTCAATCTCACTTCTCTCATACAACTATCTCTCCTTCCTCTTCACATATTTTTATACCTCTATCTGAAATCCAAATCATACAACAAACTATACCTATTCTGGAATACCAATCTCAGTTTATAAATCTTTTTAACAAACTTCAAACACTTGATATAAATAATATGCACTTTTATATTAATGCTTCAATTAAAAATATCCAATCTACATCCTTTAAAATTAGAATAGGTTGGATATCTGAAGATATCTCTATCAAATTCAATACTGCAATACATAGCTATCCTGATACAACTAGAAATGAATTAGAATCTATTATTTATCTACTCCTTACTATCCTTTTTAACTCTACTATACATATACATCTTGATAACATAACTGCAATTAAAAATCTTAACTCATACCCAACAACAATAAAATTACTACAACCAAAGAACTGGAATATTCTCTATATTATTAACTGGCTAAAAACCCAAAAAAATATTAACTATACACTTCATAAAGTTAAATCTTATTTTAAAAACACTCTACATAATCAAGCAAATTTTCTTGCAAAACAAGAATCACAAAAAATTTCTATAAACCTTAATTTTAATATCTTCTAACTACCAATATACTTCTCTTGAAATATCTTCCTTATACCCTTCAAAATCAGAACCTTTATCAACAATATATCAACTATACAAAATCTACTTTCTTGGTCTTATTAAAAATCTTTTCAATTTAACAATCCTATTAAATAGTTTATTAACTTTCAAATTATAAACTCCCTTGAAAACAACCTTAACAAATACTTCTCTCATATCAAAATTATTACAGATACTTTACCTATGATGCAAAATTTTTATCTTTGTTATCCTATGCTCTATACAACAGATCAATATACATGTTGTTCTCATTAAGAAAATCTTATATATCTTTTTATATGTTCTAAACTAAATATTAACTTCCAGCAACAACTTCAAAACATTATTCAAAATATTTTAACAAATCTTAAAATACCTATATCTTCAACTTCAATTTTAAATATTTTATTTAACTCTTCTTTTAATACAACCCTATTTTATATATACTTACTTCAAATTATCTAAGAAATATTTACAATTTTAACATACAATAACATAAAACTACTTTTATACAAACAAACAGATACTTTTCTTACCCATCTTTCTAACTTATTTTTAGACTAGTTTTATTAAAATATATAGATTCCATGTAATATACTTCAATATTAATAAGAACTAGCTCGCAAAATAAAATCTAAATCCAAATGCTAAAAGTTACCTGCTCTCTCTACTTCTATATCTACTACTTCACAATCTCCTTCATCTACTCCTGATCCAACTAATGCTATATATAAATAGCTTAACCAAGGCCATACCTTATTTACTTGTATTTTATAATGTTAAGACAAACACTTTAGGTTTTCTCCAACCTATTCTAGCTAAAAATTAATTTGGAATAATTAACTATAATATTTTTAGAAAATGGGGGTGTAATATCATATTGAGTGTCTTAAAGTTTTCTTTATTATAGCACAAGTGTTGATAAAAATCTTTAATATATAACTCTTTTCTTACATTTAATAAAGTTTCAAAAAAAAAAAAAAAAAAACATTTAAAATAAGAATTATATTTTTCTAATATTTGTATTTATATTATAAGACAAAAAGTTTAAATTGCTTATAAGCTAAAAATATATAATTTTAAAACTAAAAAAATAATTTATAATTTTTTGGTAAACTACACTTTTAGTAAAATTACTATCGAAAACATAAACTTTAAACTTTTATTATACTAATAATTTTATTTTGATTTTATATTTATTGAATATTCTAGTGTATTTTACTATTAAATTGGTATTAGTGGGTAACAAGTTCACATATCTTACCCAATCACTATGTGATTACGTTTTACAGATCTGTAGATCGGCAAGGAATATATTTAGTTTGTGTAACACTTAAGTAAATAAAATGAGGGTATTTTTACCCTTAATTTTAAACGATCTTCAAATTGTTTACTATTGTTTACTTTTCAATATGACCGAGAATTATGAAGAAAAATATCCACTTCCTAATGATTTTTTGATGTATGCAGCAAAATTAAGGGATTCATGCATCAGAAAACTTGAATCGATTACATTTAATTCGGACAGAAGCATTTCAATTAAAAGAAATGTCGAAAATATCGTTAGAAGAACTCGATTTGGCTATTACAGCATTTCGAGTATATATGAAGATATTGATAGTTATCTCTTGGTAAGCTTTTTTCTTTTATATATATAACTTATATATTTTTAAAGATTTCATTACCAAGTTTTAAATACTAGATGCCGTCGAATGAATATTTTGATCAACAAAAATTTGAAAAAATGGAAGAAAAAATTTCAAACTTAGAAGATCAACTTAAAGTAAAAACTTTTTTTAATAAAAACAACTATTATATTTTATTTACTTATTACTAGTTTTAAATCTAGGAAAAGCAATCCGAAATTGAACGACTGAAAGGAAAGGTACATTTCAATAACAATGAGCACGAAATTAAACTATTTTTTACTTTTTTTACTGTTTAAAGAAATCTATTAGAAATATTCAACTAAAGAAGAATGAAGATTCTACCATATTAAATGAGATTTTAGAAGAAGTAGGTAAAGAAAAAAACGATGAAGAAATCTGGATTGCAATTAATGCAAAACTTGAAGCCGTTTTTGGGCGTTCTGATACATTAATTATTCCCTCCGATGAGCGTCAAAAAAAAAATTTTTATCATGAATTTTCGCACTACAGCAATGGGATAATGCAAATAAATATCCTGTTTTTAAATGGGTAGAAAGGGCTGAAAAAACATTTGGTAGTTAATATATTTAGTAATTTGATTTGATTTATTAGCAGATTATAAGTTACTAATAGCATTTTTTCAGCAACCAACAATAACAGTTTTGTTGAAGCTGGAATCTCTGAAACTTTAGAAAATAATTATCTGAAAAAGAAAAGTATAATTTATTTTCTGTTACTAATCATAAGTTAATTTTTGAGTTACTTATATCTTAATTTTTTAAAAGGTCTCGTAGCTCAATCTAAAAAAAGAAAAATAGACGACATCGATAACAAAAAAAAATTAAAAGGTAATTATATAGAATTGCATTTTATAAGCTCGTGAAACAAATAATTTAATACTTAAATAATTTGAAAAAAGCCAGGAAATTAGACGATATTGTCCGAGACCTTCTTGCTCCAAACCCGGAATCAACTTAGGCAATAAATCATTTGGAAATCATTTTCAACGATATTGAATTCGGTAAAGACTCTCATTTAATTAGAAATGGTATTCGAGATTGGAATAATAGAAGTGTGTTCATAAACCAATTTGAAAGTAACATAAAAAAGTTAAAGTGAAAGCATTTCCTAAACCTCAATCATGCTTATGAATCTTTGAAAAAATTGGTTAATAAAAATTCTCCAAAGGAACATAAAAAGAAATCAGAAAATTTTATTCCACTAGGAAGAAGGGTGAAAGAAAAGTAAACGCGGCTGGATTGTATACCAAATTTGTTCACTGCTTCTTATTGATAAGAGAGCTGAAAGAAGAATTTGGACCGCCTTAAGATTCGTTAATTATTTAATGTCAGACTTCACAATTACTTTGGATTATCTAGTAAAAGCTCAAGTTTCACCAAACTTTTTTAAAATAAATGCTCGTTCTCGAAATGAGTTTTTGAAAAAACTTAAAGGAGATGAAAATCTAAATTTTATCTTAAATGAAGATACCGCAAATGGAAATGATGGCAGTGAAGACGATGGCGGTGATGGAGATGGTAATGAAGATGGCAGTGATGAAGATGGCAGTGATGAAGATAGCAGTGATGAAGATGGCAATGATGAAGATGAAGGTAATAGAATATTATTAAAACTTGATCCTAATTTCTTAGAATTTATGAATCTAAAGTTATTTTTTATCTTTAAGTTAAATTTTAGAAAATACAAATAGATTACATGAATATGTTTTACTTTCCGTTGTATTTGTCTACTTCTCAAGTAATACAAGATTATATGATGTTGTTTCTATAATACGTACATTCTTAACGTACGTACGTATTTTTAAAATACAAAATGAGTCCTTGCTTAATAAATAAATAGTTAAACAATACAAAATGAGTCCTTGCAAAATAATGTTGGCTATACTAATTGGCTAAATATTAACCCGTAAGAAACTTATTTTCAAAAATTCAGATTGACTATCTATAGAATCTCTAATATTTCAACTTGCATACGTGAATTACTCAAGTGAGAAAACCGTACTTGAACTAGAATAATGCATTCATAGTGAAAGAACCAAATATGAAATCATCAAATAGTTTACCTCTTCAGGAAAAACAACATAGTGATTTGATTAATGATAATTTTGAACAACATTTGCCTATATTTGGAAATACTATTAAATCCATAAAAAAAGGATTTAGCAAGTGGAATAATATGGAGACTGGTATAAAGATATTGGATGCGAAACTTAATTATTTCCAAATATGTCATATTTACAGTTTATTGGGCGCATACATTTCCTTATATAACCTGGCAATTAAAGAAACATCACATAAATATAAATTCCTTAATGTTGATCAAAAAATTAATAAAGGAATTTCTCTTGGTGTCGGAGCGAGAAAAACAGCGATAAGGAAATGGATTAAAATTCAAATGTTGCAAATTCTTGGAGTAGATACTGAAAAATTAGAAGAGAGAATCTTCAAAGCATTATTGCGCATCAATTTTATACTTATTAATGGAATTTCGTCAAAAAAAGAACTTGCCATAGCTGGCGCAACACGTAGATTCTTTGAAACTTCTACCAAGGTGGAATTTGGTTTTTTTTTATTTAGAATTACAGGCAGGGATTGTAGCCAAGAGTTTGATAGTTATTCAAATGAAAGTTTAAATGGCTATAATTCTATTGAAATAGAAATGGAACCAATTGAAGTTTATTAAATAAATTAAGAGATTATTATAGCGAGTTTAGCTCTTTAAAAATTTATGCATTATATATATAAGAACTAACAAATTCTCTTTTGTTAATTCAATTGTTTATTAATTAACTATTGATGGTAAAAAATGTAGTGATATAAACTATAATGAATGTAAAACTATTACTACTTTATCGTGCCAAAACGATAAAAAAAAGAAATAAACCTTATAAAATCACTTTTTGTCTTTATCCTATATTATATACGTACTAGACTAGAGTTAATACTTCAATCCGGATTGATATTTTGTCAGAAAATTACAGTAACGGTAAAACATAGCGATAGTAAATTAAATCTGGATTTATTTTATATCCGTACATATCGATATCTGGATATAAAAACATAGTGAAGTATTAACTCTATACTACAGTACATATATTAGGAAAAATTAAAATATTACTGCAAGCAAAATTAAGTATAATTCCGGGCAAAATTTTACACTTAGTTTATGAATATCATGGTAAGATTGTTTGGTCTATATTAAACAAAAATGCGCCTATCTCTGCCAATGTTAAGGCAGAGATAAGATCATGTGAATCAACCCATATCCCAATAAATCGGTAAAAGGAGACAATAGCAAAGCAAAAATTCTCCTTAAATTAAATAACTTTGATCAAATAGGTGCTTTATATTAAAGGGCCCATTTTGAAATTTTTTTTTTTGATTTTTGAATAGAACATATTCGATAAAAAAGATATGATATATATTTTAATAATAAAATCATAATTATAAAATATTGAGATCAAAAACAAAAGCTAGTTATGCAATAAAGGAATATAAAAAGTTATGTAAATTTTTTTGTGCCAAAAAGGGTTGTATTGCAAGAGTCAATTTTTTTGTAGCTGATTATTTTCGGGTAATCGTAAAAAATTCAATCTCGTAGGATGCCGGAATCACTCGAAAGGAGATTTCACTTACTAAGGCTATACAGTATATAGAAATCTCAAAATACTATACCAATATTTCCTTTAAAAATTCTCTCGTTAAATATAGTGATTGAATGTGAACCAAAATATAATCAATATAAAGTCATCCTTAGCTCATACATATCTATGTAGAGGAATTAAAATTTTAATGGTGATTAGGAGGGAAGGATGTTATCCTGCTCCAACCGGTTGGAATGTAGCTCTAAGAAATACTTTCCAATTAAATTGTAGAGCATTACATAATATATAGTTACTATAAGATTTTTTTGTAATCTATCCTTACTTTTATTTTTCTAATTTATGTAATATATCATGTGTGAAATGGATATAGCCTTGGTTGTATTAAAACTAATTTAATTGAAATATTTAAAATGAAAATTGAGCTACTTGTAAAGTTAGATTTAAAATAGTTACAAGTTTGAATTTAATTAAATAAAACAAATAAACTATATGTCCAAGACTTTTTTTGTTATTCCAGCTTCCAAGAACAAGTATGTCCAGCATGTTTAAAAATTTCAGCCTAGCTCTGATTGAATAAAAAAAATCAAAATTTTTTTATCAAATGTCTATCATGCTATCAACTAAACTCCATACATTTTTATCATAGTTTGTGAAATTTCTATTAATATTAAAAATAGGAGGAGACAGAACTGGGGGAACATGAATTTTTTTTCGAGGAAACGATTATATTTTAAAACAATTCTTATGCTTTGGCCTATAAATGTAATAGGAATACACTATATTATGGACTTGCTTTGCGTAATTTGCTAATAGCTCGTAAAGTTGTTTAATCTCATAACTTTCATTTGACCAATTTTTTGCTGCTTCTTTTGAAATAAATTTAAAATTGCTTTTTACATTTCTTTTATTAATAACTGCATTTAAGTTTCTCCTATATAATACAAAACTATTTTGGGGTCTTGGAATTTGCTGTTCTCTTCGACGATTTATTCTTGGAGCAATAATTTGATCAAGAGGTAATTCTACTATTTCATTAATTTTTTTCAGTGTTAACTGATCGATATTTCTGATGACACAGTTTATGGTATCTATGATTTCTTTTCTATAGATTGGAATAAATTTTGGTTGACTAAGACTTTCATCGTAACAATAAAAAAACATTTTTAAAGAGTCGTGACTTTTTTTTCTTTAAATTTTATAGTTAAAGAAACAATACAATAATAAAGTCTTATTAATTCTGCGTTTTTATTTCAATAATATATACAATACAAAATTGATTTAAGAAATATTATTTGCACATTCAAATCACGTATAAATAAATATTTATGACTTAATGTCCATAAGGTAGGTAGGATATGACGCAGGTGGATATTATGACGCACTTGTGTTTTTTTTGTTTTTTGATGATACTTTAAAACTTTTTTTTTTTAAAGTCGAATTTTTTTTTTTTTTATTGGAAGATAGGTAATTTGATGAATAATTTATTTCAAAAGATGTTCAAAGCTGCTCTAATTATGGATTCACATTTTGATAAGTGTAAAAAATTAATTGGAATTCAAGATTTCAAAATGTTGAAATTAACATATTCATTAACAGAAGTATTTTTCAATGCTAAAGATTTGTCATCATGAACAAATCGAAGACAAATCATTAGCAAATAAATCTGATTATCAGGCACCTTACTATGATCGTACCAACAGAATAACTTGAGTTATTTTGATGATGACGACGCATCACCAAAAGAACTCGAGTCATTCTGTTGGTTCGGTCGTCGTAAGGTAAGATACAAGATAATACCGTTATTGAATGCTACTCAGCCAATAACTCGTTTATCTGGCAGTGAATTTAACATTTCTGGGCCCCTTTGGGGCCCAGAAGCTGATAATAAATTATTTTACAAATAATTTCCGTTATTGGCTGCTTCGCATCCAATAACTATATATTATTGGAAGGGAAAAAATATAAAATGCCGAATGAATAAATTTTGGAATTTAAATTCACGTGTAACGCTAAAAAAGTGGACAAGTTGTTGGAGATTATAATTGGAGGGATCCAAAGTGAATCCCACACACGGTGTGATCAATTAAAACTAAAATAAATAATTTTAGTTTTAATTGATCACACCATGTGTGGGATTCACTTTTGATCGGGTACGTTTCCTCCTGTTGGAGACTATGCCATTTCCTTTGGGTAACAAATGTCACGCCTAAGGAAATAGTTGAAGTAAAGTTATAAATATTTTCAACTGGGTGAGATTATTATAATGCGATTATTCAATTATTTCTTAACAAAGTTAAAATTACTTTTCTATAAACAATTGACACATTAGAAATAACGATTACATAATTTTAAACATATTTTATATGAACTAACAATACAATACAAATTAAATGAGTTGTTTTTTTAGTTGAAATACGAATTACGGCGAATATATTGAATCTATTAAAGACAATTCGTTGACATTGTAATTAAATAATTCATAAAAAATCTAATTAACTGTATTACCAATGAAAAATTTTTAATTAAACATATTGTGACAATTACTATTCTTGTATTTTATATAAACCTTCATATTTCCTGTATTAAAATATTAAAATGAAATTAACAGACAATTGTTATTTAGAAATTATTAAAAACTTTGAATATGATCGTCATACTTTATATAACTGCCTCTTAGTTAATCGCTTATTTTGTAACTTTACTGTGACTCTGTTATGGGCTAACCCTTTCTATAATATATCTAAATATTTGATAAATGTTATATCTATTTTTCTTAATTATCTTGATGAAAATGAAAAGCAATAATTAACTTCAAACGCGTATTAGGTCGATCTATCATGTATACGTATTTTCCAAAAAACTTTATTTGAATATGTTGACTATCTAGAGACCTATTCTAGCTTCGAAATAAGAAATGTTATCTCAACTTGGTATCAATATACTCAGGATACATCTAAGCCAAGTTTAGAAATATCAACCTCAATGGCTATCCAAAGCATGTTGTTTCGAAGATGTAAGAGAATCAAGAAATTCTACATTTTAGTAGCTGAAGATAGCTCATCAATTCCTTTAATTCCTAACTCATAGTTCTATTCTTCTGTATTGAGAGAATGCGATTTTAAATTTACTGCTACGAATAGTCAAAGCACGAATGTATACAAATATATTAAATTAATTAGGAATAAAAGAATTCAAACCATTCGAATTATGGATATTAAAGAAGTTATGCTACAAAATTGTCGAGAACAATTATTAAATTTAATTAGCGCTCAAACTGAACTCAAAGAACTTGAACTGACTTATTACACTTCTAATTTTACACCTTTTTTATGACAAAAAAAGTTTCAAAGCCTTAAAAAACTAATTTTACAAGGAATCAAGTTTGACAAAGATAATCTTGCAAATATTGCACCAAACTTAGAGATTTTATCAATAAAGAATTCTTTTGGAAATCTTTTTGAAGAAGGCAAAAATAAATTACATAATCTTCAAAGACTGAAATTAGAAAATAATGAAATAGAATTAAATAGAATTGTGCTAAAGGCAAAGTGTGAATCATTAAAATTTTTTAAAATAAAAGAGAGAGAATTAAGTAATGAAGTAAAAGAGGAATTTATTTTGTTGCTTAGTCAAAATTATCCAAATATAACTACTTTATGGTATATAACAGACAATCTTATATTCTCTTCTACACTTAAAATATTTAAAAAACTTTATCAACTACAAATAGAAGGATTTGCTTATTATGATCTGCCTTATAGTAATCAGGATTATTTTCAAGCTTTAGTTAAATATTTGCCTAACTCTTTAAAAATTCTTAACTTACTTAATATTGATGATTACAGCCATGAAAACTTGAATTGTTTTTTACAAGATTTTGATATAGAAAGAGTAAAGTTAGAGGTTCTTATATTACTGTTTAATATTGAGCTTGATTTACTTCCAAATTTAAAAGAATTTGTTGAAAAAGCTAAACATCTAAGGTATATAGAAATATTTCGATCAGAAAATTACAATACAAAAAAACAAAAAGACAGTGAGAGAGAAATAATTGATATTTGTCGTGTTAGAAATGTAAAATATATATTAAATTATCAATTTGAGATATATAAAGATTATTTTGATACTTATGAGATAGAGTTTGAATCATATCGGCAGATTTTCGGAATTGGGTTTGTAAAACGAAACGTAAAATTTTATGATTATTAAAATAATTCAAGGAGATATACAAAATTAAACCAAAATTTAATTTCGTATGTTATCGTTAAATTATTTTTATATATACACGTAACGAGCTAAACGAAAATCTGCCGATATATGTTGCATAGGAACTGAATAAACTATCTATTGCTATTAAGAACCATCATGGGCGTCAAAAAAATTGCATATTTCTTAAAGTAATTAATCACATGACTTATTTCAGCATCCACCTAGGGTGTCCAGAATTCTGCGGTGCATAATTCTAGTCACTCTAAAAATATTTTTTTTTTGTATTGTCTCCGTAAGATAAACGTGACTTTAATCACTTTTTAGCATCAATTCTCATGAGAATAGTTTATTTATTTATGAAAAAATTTCACGGTATTAGTTTTTTTCATAAAATATAAGCGAAAATATAATTAATTTTTTAGGTAGAGATTTAACCCCTGCCAAAAAATTTAATTAGTATGTGAAATCTGCTTTATGCCGCAGATTTTCGGAAAATTTGTTTTCATTTTCATCTGACTGACCAATAGAAAAAATTCATTCTTAACTAATATAGAAATGTTGTTTTCATAACGATAACTGCCAATTTCATAATATCACATAATTCACGACCAGTTCCTCATTGTAAAAATCCAGATTTATTTTTTTACAATTAAAAAAACGTAATTCAATTAAATTGATTCTATTTTAAAATTGTTCTTTTGAATTGCTCAAAAATTTCACAAAAAAAATTTATTGTTAGAAATAACAATTCGTGTTAAATAAAATAAGGTATTTTAAAGCAAGTGATTCGTACTAAATTTTTATAATGATTCATTTTAATTAATTAAATGATAAATTATATTTAAAATTTCACTAAATAAAAAAAACATCACATAAAGTTATGTATTAAAATAGTCAGTTCTTTCAAAAAAAATTTTTTAATATGCTAAAAAAAGCTAATTGCAAAAAAATACTCGACTGTTTTTCAATTGCTGATGCGATTATGAACATAACTAAAGAAGCAAAGAAACCCCTGAATTTTCATCCCAAAGTTACTGTTATCTTACCGACAAATGTGTCTGGGAAAGCAAGAACAGATAGTGCTAATTACGTGGCAAAAAAACGTAAAGTGTTTGATCAACTTGGTATTCCTATGCATTTAATAAAAATTTCACCACAATATAATGAATCTCGAATTAAAGAACTCATTAAAGATCAAAGTAATGATTCTAGCAATACTGGTATCATGTTACAATTGCTATTTCCATCTGGTTTTTCAGTTAATAAAAGTAATATTTTAAACACGATACCTATCCATAAAGACATTGATGGATTAACTATAGATTCTGTGGGTAATTTGTTTGATTTGAATAAAGACATAAAACCTGCTACTCCACTTGGTATTTGTAGTATTTTCGATTATTATAATATTCCAACTGAAGGTAAACACATTGTAATTATGGGAAAGGGTCAACTTGTAGGACAACCGCTTGCTTGTATGTTAATGAGTCCACCATATAACGCTACAGTAACAATTTGTGATATATACACGGAAAACATAAAAACAATTACTAAGAGTGCAGATATTTTAATTGTTGCCATTGGTAAAGCGCTTCATGTTAATGATGAATTTGTTAAACCAGGTGTTATTGTAATTGATGTCGGAATTAATAGATTACCTCAAAATGTTAATGGAAATATAAATATTGTAGATGATGTTGACCATTCAGTATATGAAATATGTAAATATTATACTCCAGTACCGACAGGAGTTGGCTTACTTATAGTTGCGTTTCTAGCTTTCAATACCATCAATACAAGCATTTTGCAACACAGATTACCGCCTTTGAACCTATCGCAAATAATAAGACAAAACTATTCGGTTGAAAAAATTAAGGTAGATAAAAAAGAATATAAGAAAAAGTTAAACCTTTTATTACTCTCTTCCGCTTATAATGGTTTGACTCAACGAATAAATAGAGAACTGCTTCGTCTTGAGCATACAGTAACGTTCCAAACTGCCAATTCAGATGACACGATGTGCACTGCTTTTGTGAAATATAAACCCGATCTGATTATTTGTCCAATGCTTATAAAAGCCATACTTGAAGATATTTATACTAAAGTAAAGTGCCTTATTGTTCATCCTGGAATTAAGGGTGACAGAGGACCTTCATCATTAGATTGGGCTATTATTGATAAAAAAGATGAGTGGGGTGTCACTGTTCTAGAGACTGATGAGGAAATGGATGCAGGTGCCATTTGGGCAAGCGAAAATTTCTTAGTTCCAAAATTTATTACTAAAACACATTTATATAATTCTTGTGTTATTAATACGGCTTCCAAATTAGTACTTGAGTGTATTGAAAAGTTTTTAATTGGATGATTTTAAACCTGAACCTTTAAATTATAGTAATGCTTCTGTGAAGGGTCAGCTTTATGAAACTATTAAGAAAACACATTCTATTAGACAAATAAACTGGGAAACGGATACTACAGAAATTATTTTAAGAAAAATATGTGCGGCTGATAGTCAGCCTGGAGTTAAGGCTGAGATTGATCTTAATGAACATAAAATCACTAGACTATTGTATGGTGCCCACAATGAAAAAAAAATTAATAAAGATTTGACAGTTTATCCTGGAAAGATTCTTGCAAAGCGGGATGATGCTATTTGTATTGCCACAAAAGATAGTGCACTTTGGGTCTCTCAACTGCATTCATTAAAGTCCAAAATAAATCTTTACCCATTTAAGCTGCCAGCTATTATACAACTAGGCGAACTCTCCAATAATATTCCTGAGATCAATAATAAACAGATTCTTACAATACCAACAGCTGACAACTTTCAAGAAATAAGTTTTGAGTTATTCGGTTCTTATGGAATTTTGCATTTTGATTTTTATAATGGGGCTATGAGTACCTCACAATGTAAAAGGCTTCTAAAAGCCATTAAACAATGCCAAAAAATGCCTATTAAAGGATTAATCCTTGCAGGTAGTGCAAATAATTGGTCGAACGGTATTAATCTGAACGTTATTCAACATGCAATTAATCCAAGCATAGAGGGATGGAAGAATATTAAAGCAATTAATGAAGTAGTTAAGGAAATTATTAAAATAACAAATATCATAACAGTAGCAGCAGTACAAGCTAATGCTGGTGCAGGTGGCGTTTATTTGGCGCTTGCGACTAATTTTTTATTCGTTAAGCAAGGAATAGTTTTAAATCCTCATTATAAGAATATGAGTTTATATGGCTCAGAATTACATACTTACACAGCACCTAAACGAATAGGCACATATATATTAAACCAACTTAAAGATAATGCCAATCCAATTCTTGATATTAAAGCAATTGAAATTGGCTTATTTGATAGCATTGCGCAGCAAGTACAAATGAATCCCGGACAAAGTTTTTTAGATAACGTTAAAGGATTCATAAAAGCTTTCATTTCTGACACTGCAAAATTTATGAAATTTATTAAAAATAAACAAGATATTCGTATGCAAGATGAATCAGAAAAGTCATTAGATGAATATGAAAAGGATGAATTAGAAGAGATGCAAAAGGACTTGTTTGAAAATCGTAACAACTTTCATGAAAAAAGATAGGCATTTGTTACTAAATCCTCTTTTACACCTCTTACATTAACTAAAAAATAGACAAATCATTAGATGTAGATTTAAGTTATTTGATTATTGTCATGTTCATGTATGTGAAGTAATGTTTTCCTCCTGGTGTCGCAAAGGGAAAACCAGATCCTCTTATTAACAAAAAAAAAAAAATTGAAAAATTATAATACAGTATTCTAAATACCGAATAATTTTTTAAGTTCAATTTTTTTTTGTCATCACTTTGAAGAAATTAAGAAAAATTAATAACTGATTAAGAAAATAAAATAACAGGTATAAAATTTAGATAAAGATGTATCCTGATATCATAATCAATATATTTTTCTGAATAGTCTTTTTATTGACAATTGGAATTTAAAAAAAAAAAAATTGGAAATTAAAAAAAAAATTTGAATACGAGTACAAAAAAAAATTTGACGTACGTACATTTTAAGCAAATTTATTACTAACCAATTTTTTTTTGCTTCTTTTTTTTATACCTTTTAATTCGATAGATTCGAAATCGGATTTAAATTCGAAGGTCAAATTCGTTTACAAACTCTAATCATAATTACTATCTAACAATTATCGGAGACTTTCCTGTTTTGCATACCATCTTTTGGATTTATAGTTATTCCATAGATCGCAATTGTCGAGTTTCCCCCACGTTTGTGTTGATTTCAGCCTAAAATATTAATTAATGAATATTCGCAAATTCGAATTTATTCAAATTTATATAAAATTTATTTGAATTAATTCAAATTTGGCTTATAAAAATTTGAATTTAAAAATTAAATTCGATTCCAACCTCTAGTAACATAGAACAGGAAAATAAGAACTGGCTTTATTGGCTGAATTAAAATCTTTCGATATTGTTATTTTTCTTTTCAATTATTTCATTTACATTAATGGAAGGTTTTAAAAAGGAGTTGATGCGTTTTGAAAATTGAAATTATATATATAAATTTATAAATTTATCCAATTTTCAAAGTTAAAGGTCTGAGTTTTTTTTTTTTTTTTTAAAACATTTAAAAAATACCAGCACTATTCGTACAAGGGCATTGTGTCCGACTCAGAGACCCGGAAAATTATCATGTTGATTTGAAAAAAAATACCGATTTGATTTTTTAAAATACCGATTTGTTTCGATAAAAATTGCCCAAAATATCATTTAAATTTTGATTTGAGTACGGAATAAATTTACATTCAGGGCATTTTTACTGGCAAAAAAAGTGTCAATCTTCTTTTACTAGAATGTGTGTTGGCAATGCTTGTTTTTAATTAAGTACTTACTCTTCGAACCAAAAAAATAAATAAATGAAATAAAAAAATAAAAATAAATTGTAAAACAGAGGTAAGTTTTTTTAGACTATTACTAAATTATATTTCTAATTTTATATTATTTTAAACTTTTTTTAGGATTTTAAAAACTGTTGGCTATTCTTGTTTTTAATTAAGTCCTAACTTTCAAAAAAAAAATAATAATAATAAGAACAAAGGTAAATTTCTTTACTATTAAAATTAATATTGAACTATATTCTTAACTTCGTATTATTGTTACGGGCATAGCAAACCCATGACTTTAGAAGGTTAAGTGGCTTTGAGAAAACATTACAGAGTATTTGTTATCATTAATGGAGGCTTGGTAGAATATTAAAAGAATATTCTAGTGATGGGTTAGAAACTCCGCAAAACATCTTTTAAGCACAGAGTATTGAATCCATTTCTTAAAAGTTGTAGAGCTTCATAATAATGTAAAAGTTATATAAGAGAGATGGAATTTCTTTTGTAACTTTACCCATTGGGTTAATAATATTTAAATTAATAAAAGTTCTCTAACAACTTCATTTAATAAATCGTTCCTAATTACTAAACCACCAACGTCACGTCTCTGGCAAGTTGCCTTATCATCTAAATTTTATATTTTAGCATATACTTTATTAATCGTACAAATCACCCTGTGATATTTCAAAACCAATACTATGCCACCAAAATGCGTTACAGTTTATAGCAGGGCTCAAGAATTTCCGGATGATTTTAAAGTTGATAATGGTCTTTTGATGTGTCGTTTTTGTGCAGAGTCTGCAACTTTTACAAGAAAATCTGCATTAACAGTTCATCTTGGTTCGAAAGGACACACAAAACGTAAAGCTGAATCTATCGAAAGAGAGAATTTATTAATTCAGTCGACACTAAACACTTTTATTTCAGCTCAAGATTCTAAACGACAAGTAATTTTGGAATTAATTGAAGCATTTGTTAGTGCAGATATACCATTGGAAAAAGTAGATAAGTTAGGAAATTGGATCAGAAAACATATTCGCGATGGAGGTTTAATTCCAAAATCAGATACTTTAAGACGTTATTATTTGCCTAGTGTTTTTGATAAACATTTAGCTGGTTTAAAGGAAAAATTTGCAAATAAGCATATTAGTATTATTATAGATGAAGCTACAGATGTTAAAGCGAGGAGTGTAGTTAATATTTTGTTTAACTATCGTAAGGATACAAAATTAGTAGTGGTTGATTATTTAGTCAATGTAAATAATGAAACAATTGGACAACTCATTGTTAAAACCTTAGTACAGTGGGATATTCCATTTAATATGCCAAGATTAATTGTATCTAACTCTGCCTCATATATGAAGAAGTGCACGCTAGAAGTTTTAAAACCTATAATGTCACAATTGATTCATCTTCCATGTTTAGCATGCATCCTAAATTTAATCGAGTTAGTATTTTATTTTGAATTGTATTTATTTGTTTATTTATTAATTTATATTATTATTATTTTTTAATTAGAGAATCGTGGGCTTCAATTTCACATTTTGAAATAATTTATAAGTTTCTTGCTGAAATAAAAAAAACTTTCATTGTATCTAAAAACCGACATGTGCGATATCTTACTATTTAAGATGTCATGGAGTTTCCCAACCTAAAAACATTCCATTATATGTTGCAACAAGATGGAATTCTTGGTTTAAAATGGCTTTTTATGTAGCAAAACATTTAGAATTAATTCAAGGTTTTTATCAAGAGGAAAATCAGAATCATTCAACTCCAATTATAAAACAGATTATAGCATTGTTCGCTGATAGAAATAATATTGGTTTGATTGAAATTTATCTAAATTTTATTAAGCATCATGCAGCCAAATTTGTTTTAGATTTAAATTTTTTTCAACAGCAATTGGTACCTGTTTTTCCTTTAATTGAAAATAAATTAGAAAATTTAGGTATCTTTTTTCGTAATGGCAAAACATTAACTATTCTTGAACAACCATTACTAGATATTTTTACAAAACTTAACACTTCACCTGATTCTTTCTATCCAATATTTCAACGAGCATATAGCGTTGCATATGCTAAATATTGCGAACATATTGAAAATCATCCAGCACATTCTTTGTTTAAAGCAGCTTGTATATTTGATCCAAATTTTATTACACTTTCTATTATCAATCAGGATATTAATTCCTATCAAATAATTTTTGAATTAAATTATCCATCTATAGAACTTTTACAAGAATGGGAAATATATTGTAATATTAATCTTGATGCAATTACTTATACAAATTTGGAAGATTTTTGGTTAAAAATTTCTCATAAACTTCCGCTTTTATCACAAATTGCTCCAGATTATATTTGGTTACCAATCTCTTCATGTAGTGTAGAAAGGAGCTTTTCAAATTATAACAAAATATTAAGTGATAATAGGCATAATCTTAGTTGTGATTCGCTCAAAATGCTTACAATGTTGTATTTTAATAATAATTCTATAATAGAAAATGAATAAAATTTATATCAATATTTTTTTAAAGTTATTTTAGGCAATTTAAATCGGTATTTTTCAAATCAAATTTTTTCAAATCAACATGATAATTTTCCAGTTCTATGCTCAAGAGTCTGTGAAATCATATGATATTATTGACTTCATGTAAATTCATTACGACTAACTATTTCAGCGAATTGGTGAAATACACAAAAAATCTTAATAATTTAACTGCCAATATATATTACTGATTTTTAACAATACCTTCAGGTTAGGATTCATTATTATATATAAATTTTTCTATATCTAATAAATGGTTAGAACCAGTGTTCAAGAACCAGTTTTATTCCTAACATGCGGAGATGCTTGAAGAATTAATTTTCAATCTGAGCACCGCAGATTCCGCATATAGATTTTAAATGCTGATTGGGATACTTGGATTTGATGACCAAATTTTAGCTTAATTTCATAATTCACCAAGATGCTATTGAAATAAATATTTAATAATTTTAAATTTTAAGGAAGTAGCATAATTCTTCGAACATCATATATGTAATTTTAATCAAATTAAACACTAATTTGAAAAAACATAGAGCCACTATTTACAGTACACAAGTAATTGTTTAAATCTATTAATTGATAAAAACTGTTTATCAATTAAAATTTGTCTTAGACGTCAATTCAGAATACTATGCAGATCAAAAAATTTATACGTATATAGATATTAACGTTAGTACTTTTTAATAAGATACATATCATGTTTTTATTAATTAAAAACATAAATTACAGTGTTACAGTTTGTGTAGTTTAAACAGTTAATCGGCAATCAATATAACTTGTACTGGTATAGTTTCCAAACCAGATTTTTATTCATACAGATTGTGCATATTTTTTTAAACTGGGTACACAAGAAATATTGGGTTGAGTTAATAGAAACCAAGCAAATATTTTTTAGTAAGTTTTTGTAAAACTTTAAACAAGAATAACTTAAAAAACCTTACCTAAATTTGATAAAAAAAATTTTTTTATATTAATTTTACAAGTTTGTAGAAATTATTTAAAAAAATTTTTATGTTTAAAGTTATACTATAAAAAAATTTTTTATTATAAAAAATTTGCTTGATTTCTATTGGCGCACCCATATACAGATCAAAGTTGGTGGTAGAGTTCATAAAAGAAAATTTTAATAATGATTGTCGCAGATCATAATGAAACTAGATTAAAATGAAATGAGGGTTTCTATTTAACCTTCTAAAACCCACTTATACTTGTTTATTATAAACACCACCCTAAAACTAACATCTAACCCTAACCTCTAACCCTAAAAAGTGCACCTCAAAAATTTTTATTTTTCAGCGGCTTGTCTATTTTTTATATTGTACAATATTTCATTTTGATCCGATTTCATTTTAATCTGTCACAATGATTGAAGGTTCCTTTTGAATTCTATAAATAAATACATAATAAAAATTATCCATGAAAGTTATGCAATGTAATGTATATTCTGATGCGTAACGATGTACAAAGAGACCTGGAGATGTGATCATATTATATCCAAAATTGAATTTAGTATGTATAAATGGATAACGGTTCACATGTTTGTTAAAATTTGATTCCGAGTGGAAGAATTTTGTATTTATCTGTAACTTTTGTATCACCTTATCTAAACTTAATACAGTATGCTTAGGTAAGGTGATACAAAAGTTACGATAGGCATTATCATTATATTATAACGATAATGTCTATGATGAATAGCTTGTCTAAGTTATTTTCGTTATGGAGTCAAACAGTACAGATGATGAAATAAACCACCCTACTCTTCGTTCGTCTGAATTTTTGTTTGAACTATTAATACCTATAATTGCCTTTTTGATTTTTGAAAGATATCAACTAGAAGGAGGAATTAAATGTTTATTTGTTTGGGTTTGGAGTATGGCAAAATTAGCATTATCAATTTTTTCAGTAATTTTTGTGGCAATTGCTCTTCATTTAAGAAATGATAATCTTTTTAGGGTATATCTTATTTTTGTTGTAACGCAGTTTTTTGTCATGAGTTTATATATATATAGTGAACGTGAGAAATTTTTTCCACTTAATTTTCAAACTCAACACAGTGAACAAACTCCATCCAGTAACCATGTATCTGACGATAGTGGTTCTGATAATGTAATTACAAGAATAATAACAATGTATATGAACCTTCCTGAAGATTATAGATTCCAATTACAATTTTGGTTTATTATGTTTTTAATTCATATTGCATTTTATATAATTGCTCGTAGTAATGGGATAGTTTTACCGATTTCCGATTCATTTTTAATTGTTCCTATGTCATTTTTTTTTATCTTTGCCCTTGTTACGTTTTTATTAAGACCAGATGATAAAAATATTTTACGTATGTCTAAATTTCAAATATTAGTATTATGTATAATATATGGTAATTAATGTATTTTTTATATTTTTTTTAGCATTATTTCTAGAAGTTTTTTCGTATTTTTTGTTTGAGATGATTTCCGGTCCTACATTACCATGGATAATGATTTTTATTTCAATAATAGTTATTTATATTACTCTTGATAGTAGATTGAGAAAATAATTGCTGAATAAGTTTTTGTAATTTTCAATAATTATTAGATTTGAATTGTTAGATATTTATAAATTGTTTTTTTTTTTGTGTATGTTTTTTTATAAATTAGTTGCATTTTGATTGGAAATAGAAATAAAATATTTGTTAAGTAAAGTATTAGAAACTAAACAAACATACAATTCAAACCACATCCGATATCTACTCTTTTGGAGTGATCATATGGGAAAATTTTAAAACTCAACTCAAAAAACGAAAGATCATGACGCAAATAAAGAATATAAGAAAGCATGGGATATTTTTGAAAACCTTTATAACAAAGAATACATGAATGATACACAAACCTATATGGCAAGATACCTTATAAATAGGCTTTATGCCCAATTAAACAATAAAAAGTGCTTACGAAATATGCTATAAGAAATATGTTGATAAATTACGACTTCAAATTGCAGAAAGGCATTATGATAAAAAAGAATATAAGAGAGCTTGGACTATTTTTTCAGAAATTGATTCTTGTAAATTCGGACCAAAATATTATTCAAACAAAGCACGTAATATATTTAAATTTACTGCTAAATTTTGGATAACAATTTATATTTTAGAAGGGTATTATAAAAAAAAAAAAAATCAAAATTGATATAAATTTTAAATATTTATATTTGTTTAAAAAGGCAATGGCTTTATATTTTAGAAGAGAATATTTTGAAGAAGGATGGAATCTCTTATTGGAAGTAAGTAAGGCTGAGTATTCTTATGATGCCAAATATTAGATCGCATATTTTCTTTCTTATGGGCTAGATGTTAAAAAAGATGAGAGACAAGCTTATAAATACTTTAAAGAAGTTTGTAACCACTTTTCAAATCGCATAGAAGAGAGCTATTTTAATATTAGACTATAATCGTTTATGTATTCATTTTAAATATGTATTAATAAGAGTTAATTGATCTTTAATAAACCAATTCAACTTGAAAGGAGCTAATAGCATTCGATAAGTGCATGTGATTTTTTTGAAATTATTGTTTTTTTATTTTCAAAATATAAGTAAAAAGATTATTTATCCAGCAGGTACTAATAAAAAATTTTTCACATTATTTCCACAACTTTTTATTAAAATTATGTGACAATTTCTTATCAATTTTAATATAAAATCTGCGGAAGTAATATAGGTAAATTCTTTCTGCAAGTATATATATAGGATGTTAAACCGTTCAACTACTTACTTTGAAAATCAAATATAAATTTAATAAATCAACTAGCTAGTTTTTTTTTTCTAGTACCTACGTACGTACATTTTGTAGGTGAGTGCTGATTAGTTGTTGACATATGGGGTCTTTGCCTTGAAAATGACCTTACGGTATCATGTAAGGTCATTTTCAAGGCAAAGACCCCATATGGATAAATAGTAAATAAGCGCTGATTTCTATTATAATGCACAATCGTTCTCGGCTGTCAATTATTTTTAGAAAAATAAGATAAAATGTGCATAATTCTGAATCTTACGCATAAATACACATTCACGTGCATTTTTTGAATTACACGCGTGATAAAAAAAAAACAAAAAAAATTAAAAAAAATAATTATAAAAAAAAATAAAAGTAGACTTGACGGGCCAAAATGCGCACGATACAGAAACATGCGCATTTATGCATACGATTCAGATTCTTGCGCACATATGAAAACCATTTCTATTATTAATCAACATTCCCCTTTCTGTGTTTAGTTGTATCAGACCATTACCACTCCTCCGAAAATGTCAGGCTTTCTGATTGTACTCGAATGACCCGAGGCGATTGCTTGGCTGTCTCCATACAATATATCCACTTTCCTTTTATATACTGCCTATAATTTAATAATAGTCTATAAAAACTTACCTCTGTTTTACAATTTATTTTTATTTTTTTATTTCATTTATTTATTTTTTTGGTTCGAAGAGTAAGTACTTAATTAAAAACAAGCGTTGCCAACACACATTCTAGTAAAAGATTGACGCTTTTTTTGCCAGTAAAAATGTCCTAAATGTAAATTTATTCAGCACTCAAATCGAAACAAATCGGTATTTTAAAAAATCAAATCGGTATTTTTTTTTCAAATCAACATGATAATTTTCCGGGTCTCTGGTCTGACTGGATCAGTAAATTCATGATTGACAGAATGCACGTGACAGTTCGAATAGTCAGACAAATAATACTTGAGATCTTTTACTTTATTCTTTACAGTTTTTAACTCCTCACAGGAAATTCATGAATAATACTTTCCTTACTACTTCAAATTTTTAATGCATGTCTCCAATTAGAAAAAACACCTCATATTTGGTAAATTTTATTTGGTCTGAATTCAGATAAATGTCTGAATTCAGAATTCAAATTGTCAGAATTCAGAATTCAGATATCTGAATTCAGACAACAACTTAGTATGTCAATCAAATTTTTTATAAAATGCATCATTTTTTCCATTCTTGCAACTTTTTAAATCTATTTCCAATGTGTGCGACTAAGAAATCGCGCCATTCTTCGAGAACTATTTCTAATTCTAAGGCTAATCATTTTAATAAAGAATATTATAATGATATATTGATACTTCGTAATCTCTTTCGTACTCGCATTGAAACGAATTACTGAATTACCTTTTAAATTTTTCTTGCTTCTATTTTTTATACTTTATGCTAAAAAAAAGTTTGTTTACTTAAAGTAGTTCATAGTAAAATCTTTATATTGGCTGAATTAAAATATATTTATTACGTAGGTCAATTTATGGTATAGATTCGATATTATTGTCTCTTAACTCATTCATTTCATAATCTTCACACATCATTATAATTATAATTATAAGACTAGCTATTGCATAAGCTAAATATAGCCACATAAAAATAAAATTCACTGTTCGAATCCAACAAGCTGTTTTACTTTTTGCAGATTTAAAGTCATAATGACAATCAAATGAGATCAGATCAATTTCATGATTAGTTAAAATGGTGTAAATAACTAATTTAAAAAATTTATAGATTGTTAATGATAGTAATACTCAACAGTTACATGAAGTGTGTCAATTTTTTAAATGGAGGTTTTAAAAAAGAGTTGGTGCGTTTTGAAAATTGAAATTTTATATATAAATTTTAAAACTTACTTGGTAGAACAAACCAAGCTACCGATGCGATTATATATAAAGTTCTGGATAAATTCGAAATTAATTTTTGATTTATGAAAATAATACTTTTATTAAAAGTAGATATACAGTATTACATACTTAAAGCTTTCTTTATTAAAAAAATAAAAACGACACATTGAAATTAAACTAATTGCTAAAAAATATTTTTGAAATATTAATATTATTCTCAAAATTCGAATACCATAAAATAATTACAAGTACTTACCAGTTGTTGCCCAACCAAGTACTATGTAGCTAAAACATTAATACCCATCGCAAAAAAAAAAAAAAAATATATATATATATATAATATTAATTTATTAAAAAGAAATTATACCAAAATTTGTTAAATTAGTTTATTCTTACACGTATTCAACACCTTTATTATAGTTAAGTTCTCCATTTGTTTGATCAAATGCGAGGACTTTTGCTAGTGCTATGTTATAGAAAGAATTTAAACATGTCAACTTTTGCTTAGATTGTAAAAATACGATATTATTTACCAAGAGCTGGGCAAAGGAATGTAAGAATAAAAAGTTGTAAAATCAATAGTTCCAAACAATATGTTAATATTTTTCTTTTTGACATTTCACACTTTGAAATTAATTCAATCGCAACTAGAGATATGATCTGGATATCTGTAATTTTATAATTAAAATTATAAAAAAATCCAGATATCCGGATATCCGTAATTTTTAAATAGGAAAACAGATCACATCTTAAACCGCAACATATTCGTTTTTATTACCAAAATTCGAAGATTTTCAAACAATACAAATTGATCTTATTGGACACATATTATTTATTAAGCCAATTTTATTTAATTGCTAATCCGGATAAGATCAGCACAATTTCTATATTAGGATTTGGGAGTCAAAAACAAATTCGAAAAAGCAAAGAGTTTTTTTCTGTAGAAGATTATGAGTTTTTTCAAGTTTTTAGATAATTAACTAGAGATTCAATGTCTAAAATTTTCTAAATGTAATTTTTTATATTGTTTTTTTATGTTATTAAACAAAATGAACGTTATTTGGCTTCAATTTTTTGAATGCGAAAATTTTGAATCGTAAATGTTTCAATTTCATTGACACCATGATTGTGCGAATAAAATAAATTCAAAATTCATAAAAATAATTATTTAATCAAATCTCTCAGAAGTTTCTGATCTAATTACATGTGGGTTTGTCTAAAGATATTTTTTAACTAGTTCAAGAATTTTCCCTGGTATAAGTTCACTCTCATTTCTATATGACATCATAGTTATCATAATATTGCAGGGGGTAATGATCGCTCTGGAATTAATCTTAAGATATTATTCGGAAAGTTCTTTTTGGAACTTACTTTATGATACATTTTTTTAATTTGGTAATGCGTACAATATTCAAGATTCAAATGTACGTCCATACGACCAGGGCGGATACTAAAATACAGAAATAGGAAGTAGAATAAGCTTGAATATAGATTCCAAATTTTTTTTATATTATTACAATGTTTGGATTTACATGGTTTAAAATACTAACCATGCAGGATCAAGATGTTCAACGTGATTAGTTGTCATAACTATTATTGTTCCTTCTAATAATGTTTGACCATCTAAGCATCCGAGAAAATTAGATAAACTAATAAATGTAAATATCTCCTTATATTTATCTAAATCATCTTTTTCTTTTAAAACATCTTCAGAAATAAAGTTAAAATGATTTGGACTTCTATCTCTTTTATAAAGAACATTTGATTGTGTATCAACATCTTCAAGTACAATTATTTGATTCGATGGAACAGAGCTAAACGCAGCGCTCATATCATTATCATTTTTGATTTCTTTGAGATTAAGATAATAAAGATCTCGTGATAAATAAGATGATATGGCATTTATTAAACTAGTTTTTCCAGTCCCTGGTTTACCATATAGAAGAAAGCCATATCGATAGGGGACACCAATTAGTTTATAAAATTCTTTGTCATTAACAAAAGAATCTAATTCTTTTTTCAATAATATTTCTTGTGGTTCATCTAAAACAACTGTTTCCAAGCTATTTAAGTTTGATAAATATTGAACTCTGTTCCAATTTCCGTTATTACGTTTATATCGAGAACGTTTGTGATGTTTCTCTTTTGCTTTAAAATAAAACCACGTTACTTCATTAATAAATTCAGTTATTGCATTAACATCAAATCTATTTGGACTTGAGTCATTATTAATGATTGATAAATAAATAGAAGGCATTGGAGTAGGAGATACTCTATAGTTCGATACATGCTAAAGATTATTTTTTTCAGTTTCTTGCATTTTGTACACAACATTGAATTTACGACCTTTGTATTCTATAATTATTTGTTCTTTATTTTCGGGTAGGATATTAAAATCTAGTACTTCATATGATTCATAATTTTTACTATTAGTAGGTTGAACAATAAAAGAACCATTATTTAATTCTTTTGTCTGTTGTGAGATTATTTACGACAAAGCTTCATATATCTGATTTCTTTCTTGAGTATAATAAATACCTAAAGATTTATATTTATTTGTAGAGATAATAATATTGTAACTTGCAGAGATCTAATTGTAACCTACCTTTAACATAATATTCAATTTGCACTGTTAATGGTTTTCTGAGCTGAAAAACCTGCAACAAGGAGCATGATGCGTAGAACAAGGTAGTTATTGCAGTAGCTATTAAGGTAGTTATAAACATATCCACAGCGATTATTCCAGAAAAATATGGCTCGAGTTTTGACGGAATCCATGCCAATAAAATTGCTTGTATTTGTTCGCGAGCGAATAGATTAATAAAAGATCTAAAAATATCTTTGAAGTCAGCCATTAAATTTTTAATATCAAGTAGATATGTGACCTGCCCAATATAAAAAATCGTGTTTTTTTTTATTAAAAAAATTATATTGGGTCATAAGTTATATCTAACTCCAAGGAGTAGAAGAAATAATTTAATATCACATGAAATTTTTATTATTTATTTTTTATCGAAATTATCCAGTGTAATGGATAAATAAGATAAATATTTTAATTAGCAATCCGCATAAGAACAATAGTATTATTATATAGTAACTATAGCGCAAATTACTATGTTTTTTATATAGGGTTGAAAGTTTTTTTTCCTCGTTCAATAAGAAAATTCTATATAGTTACAAAATCTAAAATATAAATATCTTATGAATTATTGAACCAATTTTAATAAATTTTTACACTATATGTAGAAATGTTTTCTCTACACTTTTTACTATAAATTAAATGTATATTAGCTTAATAAAATAAATAGTTAGCTATGGAGGAAATGAAGATTTTATAATTATAATATATTTAATAGCAATTTGCACATATAAAATACTATTCATCTTAGATGAATTGGCAATTAATTATTTTGATTTATTTGCGAGAAAACGTATTATATTAAAATATATAACTTTTCGTCAAAAATACCAATTATATTTTCTATTCTTGTATTCTTTTTCAGTATTTTTGGAATGAGTTAATAGAAAGCAAGCAAACATTTTTTAAAATTTTAAACCATTTTTTTTATTAAATTAATTTTATCTATTTTTAGTTCTATAGAAGATTTCCAAGTTGTACTACCGATTAAAATTCAATTCAATAATTTTTTCTTTAAACAATTAAGTCAATTAGTTCTAAAATTGAATAGATTTATAGACAGAGCATAGAATTTTATTGTAAACCTTTTTCGAATCATATCTCTACTTGGTATTATTATAGAATTTTTAAAATAATACCATACAGTATTATCAAGGTCCCGATTTACATATAATACCAGTTAAAGGGAAGTTTCTATCATCCGGAAAAAAACTTTTAGCAAGGTATATAGATTATTTTCGTCAAAAGAGCTAAAAAAAAAGTATAAATAAGATGAAATAGTTCACTTTTCTAAAAAAAATAAAATAAAAGAACTATCACTTCACTCAAATGTTCAGTCAAGTAATGATGCGATCTGTTATTCGTTTTCAATAATGGATTGCACCTAGTCAATGAGAATACTTTACAAAGACTTCGAGGTGTATTCGTCTACGATGAAATTGATGAACAAATGAAAATTAAAAGTCATAGAGGATGCTGGATACCAAGTTGAATTAAAATATCTGCCCACATAATCTTATAAGAACTTGGTTATTAGAAGCATTTCGAAAATTAGATGTAAATATTTATATATTTTTGACTATACAATTCATTGTTTTCGTTAACCAGATTTGTTTTGAGGCTAGAATTGGCAAGATTGAGTACCATGGATTAAATTCTCATCCGAAAATACAAATCGTAGAATTTTACTATCATTTCACTTTATGGTGATAAAAACTTTTTGGTGTAAACAGGATTCGAATTTTTTTAAACACGTTGTTTCTTATTTCAAATGAGATTTCAAGATGATCGTATTCGGTTTGCGACAAAGGTTTTCGAAATATAGGAGGACGGAAACGATGACATAATTTTTGAAAATATTAATGTGTTTTTAGTTTTTTAAAAAATTTAGGGACAAAATATAAAATTAGTAGTTTATTCAAAAACTACTTGCGGAGGGTTTTACCACGAAATTCTGAAAAACAGATTCCAAAAGGACATAATGCTGATTTAGTCGGTATTATGTCCTTTTGGGAAATGGCTTTCGGAATTTCGTGGTAAAACCCTTGCGGACATATATTAGAATAAATTTTTGTAACTATGGCAGCCAAATTTAAATTATTGTTATATATTACTTTATTGAAATGTAACGATTTATTAGACACAGTATTACTGAATTTTAATTGTTTTATTAAAATTCAATTCTTTGTTATCATTGTAGAAGTTAATTGATTTTAATTCTGTATTTAAATCTTATACAATAAGGTGGGGAACAAATTTAAAGGGCTTTTTACATTTTCAAATTTTTGCTAAATATTGTTAAAGATCATGTCAAATAATGGTTCTATTAAGAGTTCTGACGCATTTGTACTCGATAAATCAAGTCAATTTGGCCAAAAAAAAGAAAGGATCGATATATATATTCTTAAACTATTAAATAAAAATTGGTTTGATTATAATCTAGTTTGTAGCACCCCCTTTTATTATTTTGTTGAAGTTTCTTACTACAAATTTTCCTATTATGTTGTCATCTGGAAAAAAACATCTTTTATTACTGAAGATTTTCACATTATTAATGATTTATTATCTGTTTTCAAGGAAAATAATATAACAATTGTCTCTAATTCTAATTTAGAAAATACTGTTAATGAAAAATTTGATGAATCTGCAAAAAATCCAAATTCTTTAGCTTTTTGGACAAATAATGAAAATACAATCATTGATTTTCTTAAAGAAAAGTTTTATGTTTACTATATAGAAAATGAGACACATAATAATCAAGATTTATTGGAATTTGTAAGATTTATGAAAACAAAGTTTAGAGATATTACATTCATTGATTCTTATTATAAACAATGGCTTGACCTTAAGAACAATAAAAATTAATTAGCAATTTATCTATTATGTTTATAAAATCTTCATTTTCTTCATAGCTACTATTTTTACTATAAAATTTCTTTAAGAGAAAAAAAAATTTAGTGTGACAATTGAATTTTTAGCATTTGCTTATTAGTTACTTTAAAACTGAATAAAGCTACAAGATTCAATTTAAATTTAATTTTTGGCTTAATTTATAAATTTACTCCAAATTTAGCTTCCTACTGACTCATTTAGTTTTTCAAAACTTAACTAGATATGTCTAATTATAGTAAAGCACAACTTATATTACGGCTTAAAGATGCAGAAAGCCACTATGATAATAAAGAATATGAGAAAGCTTGGACTATTTTTTCTGAAATTGATACTATCAAGTTTAAACCAGATAACTATCATTTAAACAAAGATGATATAAATATATTTAAATATACTGCCAGATTTTGGATAACAATCTATATTTTTGAAGGATATTATATACCACCAAATAAACAAATTGATGAAAATCTTAAAGATTTATATTTGCTTAAAAAGGTAGATGCTTTTTATATAATTTAAAGAACGGAACCTCTTATCAGAATTAAGTAAAAGAAGTAATACCAAATATAATTATTATGCTAAATATTGGATAGCAAATTAGCATAAAACAGGTGTGCTTGGTGTCAAAAAAGATGATGAACTTGCTTATAAATATTACAAAGAAGTTGTTGATTTCATTCCAAATAAGGAAATAGAGTATTTTAATTCTAACACAGCAGATCGTCATTTATGTATTGATTTTGATGATATGCAACCAAAGTTAAGAATGTATGAATATAGTACCGTATTGTTACAGAACGATAATACTTGCCTGGATTACTGTGATCTATATTAAAATAAAAAATCAGATCTCCACGGTTGAGGATCTTCAAAATTTTAGCCCGCTTTGATTTCTAGGGCTAAAATTATTGTCACGGAAATGGCTGAAGAAATTTTAAATATTTTAATATGTGCGCATTTTTTTTTAATAGTTAGGTTAGGGTTTAGGGTTAATTTTTATAATAAAGAATTTTGGTATTTTTAAATCGAGAATATTGCATAATGAGAGTTTTAGAACTAATTTTATTTTCTCATATATTTTAAAATAATATATTATAACTTAAAAAACTTCTAAAATTTTTGCTTTCAATTTCTTCTGGTTTTCCAAATTCGTCAAATTGAATACTCTTAGAAACTACTTGCGCATTATAAGGAACAGCAATTTCTAAAAGAACAAATAAGCTTCTGGAATTAATAAAGAATTTACATAAATCATCTAAATTTACTTCATTCTCATAATCTTGCAAAACCATCCCATATTTTAATCTCTTTAATATACATGGGTAATGATTTCGCTAATTTTTTTAGGTATCCAATAAACATAATATTATATGCATAGGTTTAGTAGTTTGGAAGTTATAATTTAATTTTTTTTATATTTACTATTAAGAAGAGTGATTTGCAAAAAATCCTCATTAGAATGTAATACCTTAACATTTTTTTTTATATAAGAAGTTTTTGATTTCGTTCTAAATAAGAAAATAGAGTATTTTAATTCTAACACAGCAGATCGTTGTTTATGTATTGATTTTGATGATATGCAACAAAAGTTAAGAATGTGTGAATATAGTACAGGATTTTCACAGAACAAAAAATTTAAAACTGTAATTATATAAAGAAGACTTTCTTATTATATATAAAGTTTTATTATAAGTTTTTGTGATGCTGAAGCTTTTTAAGACTTGGCTTTTATTATCGTTAGATGTTTTAATCAAAAAAGTCATGTGTTTGTTACGAATTGGTTTGATAACAAATTTAAAATTGAAGATTCGGTTGAGAAAATTGCTGGGTATATTATGCATCATTTTTAAATTCTGTCAATTATTAATTGACGCACGTCATTTTTCAATTGAAAAACGACATATGTTATTTTTCAATTGGTATAAAATTTGCAAATTAAAAAAAAAACTGGCAGAAATATTTATTATACTATTACATTTAACCGAAAATATTCAAATTTATGCAAGATATATTAAAATTTACTAATAGAACTAAAAAAATGTTTGCATTGTCCATGTAAAACGCATCCACAGCACCTAAGTATACCGAATTTTTCTTTCTGCAAGAGCAAGATTTAGTACTGCAATTTATTTTCGGCAACTGCAAGAATTTAGGCGAGGTTTTGATTTGAACTAACAGCATCAAAATGCTGACAACAAAAAAAAATGAAAAGCACGAAAAATATGAAAAATGGTTGTCTAAACCTATCATGGTGCACTAACAAAAATGTTATGGATGCAATTTTACATATAAGAACACACCTAAATCTAATAAAAAACAACCTATTTCTAGTGCTAATTAGATAAGTAGTTCTGACCAATATCCGGAAAAATTTGTCTTGCACCTGATGCTGTTGACTTGAACCATTATTATTTGCACCGTTACTTCAATTCAAATTATATCAGTAAAATTTTAATTGAAATTCAAAAATTTACTTCGGAAATGTATGAGTTAAGCATTCTTCAGTTAAGTGTTCTTGAGTATTCTTGAGTTAATCATTTTTGTGTTAGATGTTCTTGAGTTGGACGTTCTTGCATAGTATGAATTGTATGACTTGAGTGTTGAACATTATAAGTTTGATGTTCCTGAATCTTATAAATTGGACGTGTAATATTTTGCTTGGCGTGATTTTTAATATATTAAGACATTCATTGTAGCGTTCTAAACTTCGTTAGTTTTTCTTTGATTTGTATATGTTTCTAATATTCGGTTAAAGGTCTCATAGGTCAGAAAAGAATTTGGATTCATTAGTAGAAAGAGAAAAAAAAATACATGATAAAAGAATATTTTTCAAAATTTATTTATTTATCATTATTGGCATCATTAATAAGCTATCGTTGATTATAATATGATCTGCATTAAGAATTGACCTGGGTCATTTATTAATCGGTGGAAATTGAAAAATGACAGGTGTCAATTAATAATCGACGTAAATTGAGAAATGACGTATAACATATCAGGATCTTCATGGGTGCAAAAATACAAACATTAAAAATCTGTGCTGGTAATTTTTATCGTTATCATTAAATAGATTAGTATTAAAATAGTAGCAGATTCTATATCGATTTTAATATTTAATTAAATTTAATATTAATCTAATTGATTGAATCAAATGCATAACTTTATTCTGTAGCAGTGTTGTTATTGTTTACTGGTAATTGCCACATGCATTCGTTTTATTCGATATAAATACCTCAACTCAAATTATCCCTCAACTTGTTTTCTCTAAATTTTGAGAATAAAACAATAATGAAAAAAAAAAAAGATTATAAGAATGAGCTAAATGATCTTTCAAAAGTTTCATTATATTCAAGACAAAGAAAATATAAAGATGCCTGGCCACTTATTTTTAATCTACTCAATTGTAATGAAGCCTATATCAAATCTCAAGCTGAATATTTTGCTGCTGAATACTACCTACATGGGTATTATGTAAAAAAAAGATGAAGAAAAAGCTTATTATTTTGCAGAAAACCTTGAAAAAGCACAAGAAATCGAAAAGCATTAAACATTTTTAGCCAAATTTCTCAAAGAGATCAATCTAATTTTATGAAAAATTTAATCAAAGTTAAAGCTTCAGAAAAGGTAAATCAATATAGAAAAGTGAATAATTAAAATGTGATTTTGGATAATAAAACAGCAATTATTTTTTTGAATTTGCACAAAACTAATATACAAGCTGTTGGACGGAATTGCTTGTCATTAATTGATCTTTTAACGTTAAAAAATCGATCAATTTATAAAATTCATGAAAAATATGATGATTAGCTCCAATACAATAATAAGAATCAATAAATTATTTCCATGTTTAATTTAATATTATTTAATATCTGAACTCCTATGGCCTTTTATAGCCGTAGGAGTTTAAATAGTAAAGAGTATCCAAATATTAGCTAAATTTCACAAACGCGCCTTAACGGATGGTACTAACGCTAATAAAAAAAAAATAATAACGATAATTCAATTGATATATATATATTTATTATAATTACTGTTTCGTTTTGAGATAATAAAACATCTATTATCTTTTTTTTTAAGACCTGGTTTATTCAGAACTAGAGATTGCCAAAGTAATTTATTATTACTTATCATTATACAATACTAAATAAAAATCTATTATATTAATTTAATAAATTACCCAATAATTTTTATTAACGTTAATACTGAAAAAAAAAAAATAGAAAAGTTAAATTGAAAATTATGAATGACGTAAAAATTATTTAAGTACAGAAGGTATGCGTGTAGTCACCTCATATATCCTCTATGTAGCATTATAGTAACCATGTCTATAATTTTCCAAAACAAACAGAACGAGAAGAATGTTATAAAATTAGAAAAGATGTATTTATTAATGAGCAAAATTGCGATATGGCATTCATTAATTTAAAAATAATTCTGTCAAGAATCTTTAATGTGCTTCATTAAATTTAACTTACAATTACTTATTTTCTTGCATAATAGATACGATAACTCTCTTATATGTCACCATTTCTTAGCTCTAAAGTCATCTCTTCCTGTTGGCATGGGAAGCATTTCAATTTCATTGAAGTTACAAGTTTCTCAGTTTCACAGTAACACATTCTCTATTTATTTAAGAACTTATTTCTATTAATAGATACAATAAATTATATAAAAATTCTCATTTCTTAATACTATATATTGCACTTGACCACAGCACTATTTTACTAAAGGTATATTTTTAATAAATCCACCCTTTATTTCTGTTACATTTACATTATTAATCAGTGACTTTCGCTATTAAACGACCCTATCTCAGATGACAAATGCAAATGGTTATGATGACGCTGATAAATGAGTGTAAATGCCTTTGGTCTTTGCTCAAAGAATGTGAAGCGTTGATCAGAAATCACGTGAACAGAAAATCGATCCTGCTATTAACGATAAGAGACTACAACCTTTACAATACTTGTCACGGATATTATGTTTATTTTAAACTTTTAACCCTAACAAAGATTAAATTAGCATTATCTAATTGTTTTATTTTAAACAAAAATTAATTAATCAAAATACAATGCAAATTCTTTATATATAATATTTCATTCCTCATCAGTTTTGTAACAAATGCCTAACACTTCTACATTAAACCTTCCATCACTAGCATTAGAAGAAATCTTTGAAATTTTAGCAAATGATACTAAAACGCTTTATTCTTGCATACAAGTAAATTCCAAATGGTTTTATAAAGCATCTCCTTTATTGTGGTATGATCCATTTTCAAATAAAACAAAGCCACACCTTGCTATCGGAACTTATATACAAGAAATGTCTCTTCAAGAAAACCAAATTATCAAAAAACATTTCAACATTTCAAGATTTGAATTTAACTCATTGTTACCATATTCTTCATTTTTGCGATTATTTCATATAAATAACTTCATGGATGCTGTGATAAATTTTTGGCAAAATTTTTGTAAAAATATTCAAGATTATGTGATCAAAATGATTTCTAATCTTCTTATTCAATTAATGTTAAATAAATCTACTAAAATTCAACAATTTAAATTCATAGATTTATACTTTTTTATTTATCCAGAGTTAGACAATTCACTTGTAAAATTAGTTGAAATCCAGAATGGATTAAACCACTTTTCACTTACAAACACTTATAATAATAATATTACATATTTTTTAAATGCTCTACAATATCAATCACACTCTCTTTCATATTTAGAATTTAATTCTGTTGAATTTATACAACTTTCTTTAATTGGCTTTATAAAAAAGTGTCAATCACTTTCAAAATTAGCTATTTTCAATTGTTTATTTGAAAACGAAGGTGATCAAAATAATTTAATAGACCAAATTCCCATCAAACAACTTGTTATTTTATTTTGCAATTCAAGTTTAGAAACCTTTAAAATTATAGGTCCGCGCTGTATATATAAAATTGTGAAAATTTTAGAAATAGTTTTTGAATGTTGCCCAAATATTGTAGATTTTTCAATTGGATTAATTACATTTAATCTAGATTATTTGAGATTTCTTGGGCTCCAAGCTCGCAATATTTGGTATTGTATCAAAATCATTTTGTTGTTAATTTAAAAAGTATGAAATTAGGAGATTACCTAGAAAAACTAGCTAAATCGTTACCCCTGAATATGAAAGTAATTAAAATATGGATGATTTTGCAAGGTTATGAAGAAGAAGTAAATTTAGATGATTTATGTAGATTTTTTAGTAATATTAATTTCAGACGCTTATTTGTTCTTTTAGAAATTGCTATTCCTTATAATTCGCAAGTGGTTTCTAAAAGTATTCAATTTGATGAATTTGGAAAACCAGAAGAAATCGAAAGCAAAAGTCTTAAAAGTTTTAGAAGTTATAATACTTCATTCAATATATTATTTTAGAACTAAAATGCTTTGTCTGATGATTGATTTAAATAAGGATAACTAATCATATTTGACCTAAATGTTGCGCCGTTATTCGTATTGCCTTATCTTTACAAAGCATCAAATGAAACTCCGAGTTAGTGTTCTGTACGCGTTAAGTTTATTCGTTCGCTATTTCAAATAGCTTTTGTTTTATCGTAAATGAACTTGTTCAAATAAGGAAATAATATTTGACTTAATTTATGCTATCTTTAGCCGCGGTTGTTCATATTACCTATTTTATATTGAAACTTCGAACTCTGTACAATTCTATGATAAATAATTATATATAGTTAATTTAAACCGGTAAATATATCATCCATAGATTTAAAGTAACCCATAGATATTTATACTCTTTATAATTTCGCGTAAGACGAAATTCTATTGAAGTGACACGGCTAATTTAATCTTAATTAAATTCTTGAAACAAAAACAACTTTTAACAAAAAGTTCTTGCGCTTTCCGAGTGGTTAATTTTATACCTTTTGAACAAAAAGTTTTTGCGCTTTCCGAGTGGTTAATTTTAAATAATTCCAAATAAGACCAAATTTTTTCGCGTTTTCGCGTGGTAAATTTATCGAATTAGATTAATTTAATCACTTTATTAATCTAACTTCAAAAATAGCATTTAGCCAAAAAACCATATTTCCTTAATAGCCAAAATCTTCGTGTATAAATTGAATCTAATTGGTACTTGATAAATTAACCACTCGAAAATTGCAAGAATTTGTTCAAAATTGGTTTGTTTTAAGTTATGAAAAAGTCTATGTCGCTTTTAAGTTAAGTAAGAATATAAAACAAAGAAATGAGCGAAGGATTGGATCGGTTAATATAACTAAGTAATGACACAAAATAGATTTAATGACACGTAAATAGAAGTATTATTGAAAATCACTCGGAAATGAGCAAGAATTTTTTGCTCAAAACTTGTTTCAGAAATCATTATGTAATTATACGAAAAGTTTGTGCCGCATTTAAATCAAGGTTAAACAAAGAAATTGAGCTTAAGTACGCGTAGGGATCGGATCCATTTAGACCTTTACTATTTGAGGCACTTGAGCCACTTCAAAATCTTCACTTCTTCAAAATTTTCAATTCCACAAATTTCTTTAATTTCATTGCATAAACCCCATTTCGGAATGATATTCGATAAAGAAAAGAAAGTACGCGTAGGTATAGGACCCAGTCAATATAAATTTAAGTAATGACAATAAATATACTGTTATGTAGAATAAGATATACGCGGGATTTCTTACTTAATTATAGCAGTATTTCAATGAGATATTTATAGACCGATTTTCTTGTTGCTAAAGTCTTCGTTACTAATTAATTATTTCATCTTCATAAGTAAATTCTTGAAACAAAGAAATGAGTCTTCGAAATTCTTTGCACCTTACTGCAAAAGGTCTTTTGTCCGAATGGTTAATCTTACTAATATTAGAATTCATATGCTTTGTCGTGAATATATAAAAGGACGCTATATCTCCTCTCCTAGATCTAATAAAGAAAAATATTTAAATCAAACTAAAATGCCATCAACGCGACATAATACAAAAAAAATATGCAAATTCTGTAACAACCGAAACAAACGAACTATATTACCAATATGCTATACCAATGAGCTTTTTTGTCCGGTCTCGGTTATGAAACGACAATTGAAATTTAAAAAGTCAATCATTTATCAAATTTTACAAAATGAAGAAATAAATAACAAACATAAAATTTACCAATACGCAAGTTATTTAAATATTTGTAACGAATGTCAGCATTTACTTCAAAAAGATTGCTTGGAAGAAGAAGATTATTTTCCAGAAGTAGATGAAGCATTAAATGTAGCAATCATGAAAAATAAATTAATTAACAGTTTTCAAAAATATAAACACAAAAAATATAAATTTTTAATTAAAAATTGAAATAAGATTTTTCAAGAAATTTGTAGAAATAAAAATAAGTTAAAGCACATTTCTGATTTACCTTTGTTTAATTTTATTTTTCTCAGATTTTGTGATTTTCAAGAATGTAAAAAAGAATTTTCTTTAAAAATTTATTAGATAAAATTTTGAATATAATCAATACAGTTTCAAAATAAACTCAGTATTATGAAAAATTTTTTCTTTGCCTTTATAAATGTAATTACTGGATACAATTGTCAAAAAATTCATCAAAACTTCTTGAAACATATTTATCGAATATTTCAGAAAATTTAGAATAATATTAAATTTTATATTTTTCTTTACAATCAACCCAGCGCGAAGCTACGTCCCAGAAAGTAATCTGCACTTTCTTTTCCTCGACTATACAGAACAGAGGACCAACTTCTTTATATAACTTAGAGGCTTCATAGGCCTTCAGTAGTAACTTCTTTACCATGTCTCGGGCTCCGTATTTGGAAAAGCGTGTTAGTATATTAAATGGATTGTAAGGAATTATACATTTTTCGTCAAATAAATCTTGCGCAATTTATTCCTTATAAAGTACTAATACGTTTACGAATTTTTTCCTTGGATTAAAATCTGGTTCTTGATGACATTCATAAAGTATATCATTGTATTTCAATATGACGCTCGAGGATCATAGTTTTAATTTCGTTGGGTAGAAATGCGAATAAAGAAATCATTATTGTTATTGAAAGTGTATGATGATGTTAGGAATTCGTCGTTCGCTTGATTGTCTTCCGCGTAGAAAGGTTAAAGTCATAAATAGTTTAAATTAAGTATATTAAAAAGGTATAGTATGTGAATAAATTAACCACTCGGAAATGCGAAAGAATATTTTGTTCGAAATCGCGTAACATCGAATGTAAAAATGACTTCTCATTTATTCAAAAAATATGAGTTCATTTTCACTAATTATAACGTCCTTTGCCCAATGGTTAACCATATTGATAAAAGCTATTTGATCTTTTATCCGAATGGTTAATGTGGAATTCTTGTGCGAAAATAGTATGTTATCTATGATTTATCAATTACAAGTTACTTAGTAGAAGTATCAGAATTAAACAAAGAAATGGATCTATTTAATTTTATTTAAATTCTAATTTCGGTAACAAATAATTTATTTTCTGTGACAATTAAATTTATTAGTAATAAAATTATATTATTTGTCACCGAAATTAAAATACAGAAATATGTATTGTTTTAAAATAGAAAACTTTGATTATTAAAATTTTCAATAACAAAGATCCGTTACCATAATACTAGGGTTGCATATTACCGAAAGTTGATAATATCCGCAGTAAATTCGGATTTTCGACCCACTCTATTAATGTTGATTTTACTAGTATGATCACCCCAGTGTTACTTTTTTTATGACATGACCTTTTCAAGATCAACCAAAGGTAATTATAAGTCCCTGGATTTCTTGATATTTGTTTATGAATTTGAGGAACGAACGGGAATGCACTAATTTGAGCTAGATATATTTCTTTTGATTTTTATCTCCCCCTGTTGGATTTTCATTTTTGAATCAACATCAATCCTAATTTTCCGTATCGTCATATTTTTTACAAAATTTTACTCAAAATTTATCAATTGAAATTGAATGAATTCATTTAAGAATCAACGTTGTGCCTAATTAGGAATGGATGTTTCACAATCTATCCAAAGAATTCCGCGGTGCAAAGTCTGATGACCTTACCCTACAGAAATTTTTTAGCTCTCAAAATTTGTCAATTGAAATTGAATGAATTCATTTTAGAATCATCCACGCTCCTAATTAGGAATGCATGTTTCACAATCCTAGATGGAAAAATTTTGGCTACAAGAGTCAGTCATAGAGTGTCCAGAATTCTGCGGTGCATAATTCTGGACACTCTAGTCAGTCATAAATTTATAGTTGACAAATCATGACTCAGTTGTTGAGTCACCTTATTTAGTAATATATTTATTTTGTTTAGATATTTTGATAATTCTACATTAAATAGCATATATATTTAGAAACGATGCATGATAAAAAAATCAATTTTCTTTGAATAAATTTGTGTTTAGTTCTCTGATTATTTTTTTGCATTTTTTTTAGACTTTTCGTTTCTATTAGCTCTTCTCAAATTTCTTTCAAACTTTCTTAACATGTAATGTTCTTTATCATAATATCCGTATCCCACATACTTTAAACACAAAAAATTCCTTCTGCATTTTGATTTTACCCAATTATTTTTTGTTTGCATGCTTGTTTCGATTCTACAAAGGCAGTGTTTGAAATAAAAAAATGAACCTTTCAAGGTGATTCTTTCGAGAATATGATGAATATCTCTACTTAAGTGTTTATTTTTTACTTTACCACTGAACTTAAAATAATTTTCGTTACTTCTTATCCAATATCAAAGTAGCGTGAAAAAACTGATTCCAGGATTATAACTGAGGATTTCAATAAATTTTTCCTGGATCATATCCATAAAGAGCTTTCTAGTAAATTTGTTAGTTTGCAAAATTCCTTTAATTGTTTCGACTGGAGGTTTGTCAAACATGACATATTCATTAAATAGATCGTCGATCAAAAATTTAAAGGAAGAATTGACGATGATGAGTTTTTCGCCGGCATCCATTGTGGTTTTGTAATAGTTTTCCTGTTTGTAATTTAGATTTGATTTGAATTTGACTGAATGGGTAGGAATAGAAGAACGTAAATTTATACCTTTCAAAGTCGTACATACAGAGTGTGATTTCTTATTAATCAAAATTCTATACACGAAAGTACACGAAAGTCTGCAATTCAAATAATATTAATTTAGTAAAGACACTTTTCACAAATTATTGTATACTTCTATTTGCGTGTCATTAAATATAGCTCAATTTCTTTGTTTAAGATCTAATTTAAAAGCAGTACACTATTTTCATAAATGACACGTAAAAGAAATCCATATTGGAATTCTATAATGTTTTTTTAACCATATTATCGAATAGAATTTTCTTTATTCCCAAGCTACTTCTTCTGATTAACCATTCGTATAAAAGACCGAATACGCGTGAGAATCTTTGTTTCATGCTTATCAATACGGTTAACCATTCGGACAAAAGACCTTTTGTAATAAGGTGCAAAGGCTGATTTCTTTGTTTCGAGAATTTACTCAAGAAGATGAAATAATTAATTAGTAACGGGGTTAATCTTTGTTTCTCGTTGTGTGTATCTTATGATTAAACATCCGAATAAAAGACCTTAGCAACAAGACATTCGTTCCATAAATATCTCAGAAATATTGCATATTATTAATACAAATTAGATTATCTCAATAATAATTCGAATAAAAGAACCACTCACAAGAAAATTAACATTCTTTTGACATCATTGAAAAACATATTTCCGTATTATTTTCGCGTATTTGAATTTATTATAGTAACTATATAGTGCAAAAAAATTAGCCATTCAGACAAAAGACCTTTTGCAGTAAAGTACAAAGAATTTTAATATTAATCATTGTTCTTATTACAAAAATTTATTTGTAAGGGTTAAAACCAAGTTAACCATTTGGACAAAGACAATGTAAGAATCGAATTTTCTTTATTCCCACGTTATTTCTTTCGGATAAAAGGTAAGAAGTAATTCTTTTATTTGAAAATTCATTGCCAATACAAATTATGTTAACGCGCGTAAGTACCAATTTTTTTTGTTTCATGCGGTTAACCATCAGGCAAAGACAGTATACGTAAGTAACAAAGATTTTTATTCAAACTACTGTAATATAGTAACGCGTTTTTCACCAATCGGAATATTTCACCTTTGTATTACATCACGTGTCAGTATACAAAATGGTTAGTCTTTCAATCTTTGTAAATTAGAAATGAATTTTAAATTTTAAAATTCTTTATCCGAATGGCTAATTTTTGTGTATAAATGAAATTCTCTTACACGAAAACTGTGTATTCTTTGGGAATACATACGCGTCATTTTCTTATGATTACAGTATTAACAAAACATGTAACATTAATCGTTCTCCAACCTTCATGAGTAAATTCTTGAATCAAATAAATGAGTCAGGTACTACAAAAGTTAGCAAAAATAGTTTGGAGTCTTATAGCTTCACTAAATAAATTGCGGTTCTATAAATGACACGTAAACGTAAACGTAATTCTACGAAAATCAGTGTCTTGAAAAGAACTCATAATTTTTCTTACAAAAACTTCTAACTTCCACGTATAGAATTCTAAATAAAATTTAAATTAACCTCTTGTAGGTGTTTCTTTGTTTCACTATTTATAAACATATTTTAACTGTTGTCTGTATAAATTCAAATGTTAGTACAGAAATTAACCATTCGGGCAAAAGAACTTTTACAATAAAAACTCATTAGAAACAGAATTATACACCGATATTTAAATTTCATTTAGAATTTTATACATGGAAGTTATAATAAATGTTTATTTTAAATTTCTTTTTGATTTCATAGAATAACTTCCATAGAATTTCTATTTGGATTACGTTTATGTGTCATTTATTGAACCACAAAGCTCATTTAGCGGAGTTATAAGACTCACGACCATACTCTATGCCTTTGTTGGGTGCATAATATTATATATTTTATTATTTCAAGAATTTTCTCAAGAATAATTACTGTTAAATGTTTTATTAATAGTAGAAAATGACGCAAGTATTAATATGTTTGATCGTATTCCCGAAAAATGCACGGTTTCCGCGTAAGAATTTCAATTATAGTACAAAATTAACCATTCGGATAAAGAATTTTGACATTAAATCAATATTATTTTTATTACAGTTCAGCCTTAGCTGGTTTTGTTTCTTGCTAATAAATTTGTTGATAAATTCAATTAGAATTCTATACGCGAAAATTTTCTGAAAATAATACGGAAATATGTTTCCCAAACGGATAAATGTTAGCCATTTTTGTTGCTTACAAGATGAACACTTTTATCGATAAATAAGAATTTCATTTGCGAAAAACACGTCACTATGTAGTGATGTGATGCGACCCGTAAATTTTAAATTTATCGGTTTAAAGTAACCAATAGATTATTTATATTATCTGTTAAATGTTCGGTTCACATCTATCGCTAAGTAATAAATAACACAAGGCGTTAACGTAGTTTGTATTAATTTCATATTTTGAATGAGATGTCTTTGTTATTATGTGTATATGGTCTTTTATCCGAATGGTTAACCATATTGATAATATGAAACAAAGAAAATTGTTACTTGTTAACGTAATTTGTATTAGTAATGAATTTTCAAATAAATTATAAAAGAAAATATCTAGTAATTAAGGGTCTTTATTCGATAATCAGAAGAAATAAAAAATTTGATCCTTACATTCATTACTACCATTCCAATATCTATACTCCGTTTTCCTATTTAAAAATTACGGATATCCGGATTTTTTTTATAATAATTTTATTATAAAATTGAATTAGCAGATCTTTTTTGTATAAAAATAAAAGGCCTGATAGATATTTAATTAGTACGCGTTTTTTACCAATAGGAACGTTTCACGTGCTGTATGTTTGTAATACATCACATGTTAAACAATTATTGAACATTCACAACTAAAGTAAACGTATAATTATCGAATTAATAAACTGAGATATCATTTGTAAAAACATATTTACCGCCGTTGTCCGTTGCTAATTTTAGAATATTTTCGTAAATGAAATTCTAATTTATCAACAAGAGTAATAATCTTGTAAGGAACAAAAATGGTTAAGGCAAAACTATTTTAAAAATTTTCGCCTATAATATTTATGAAATGTTATTTCACAATGAACACTGCTGAAACAAAGAGATGGATCCTTACGCGTCACTTATATATTTTCTTTGACCGAATGGTTATACAGAATTGATAGTAAATCATATATTTATTAATTTATATTCTAATAATAGTACATATTTATTCCAAATGATATAAATAGAGGTTCTGTTCGATGCTGAAGAATCAAATCCTTGACTCATTACAAAAATTTATTAAAATGATATCTCTACCAATTGAATGCTTTATCAAAATACTTGAATGCCTCCAAAAAGATTATGGAAGCTTGTTTTCATGTCTTCTTGTAAATCGTCAGTGGTGTAGAATCACTATGCCAATATTATGGAAGGAGCCTAATCTTAAAGATAGAAAGCTTATTAAAATATGTCTTTCAGAATTAGATGCAGATGAGCAGGCACTTTGCCTTTCAGAGTTAAAAAATAAACAAGTAGTGCAGCATCTTTTATCGATATTTTCGGTTAAAAGTAATTCGAAGACACCATTATTTGAATATTTAAATTATATAAAAAAATTTTCAGTTTTTGATTTAAATGAGGGTGTAAAAGATTGGCTTAATTATAAAGGATTTGAAGAATACAATTCTCTTAAATTTGAAATTGCCAATTTTTTGGCTATAATGTTCCTACGAAAAATTAAGTTTCTTAAAGAATTAGATTTAAGTGGATTTAACAATCTTTATCAACTTAATACTAAGAGCAAAAATGCAATAGCAGAAGCTCTTTATGAAAGCAAAACTTTAACTTCTTTAAACCTTCACTTTAGTAATCTTGGCCCTAAGTTTTGGAAAAAATTCGCAAACGCTCTTTGTAAAAACACTTCATTAACTTCTCTAATTATTTCATCTAATTAGATTGGCTTTGATGGTGTGAAATTAGCGAATGTTCTCTTCAATAATAACACCTTAACATCCTTGGATCTTAAAAATAATCAGCTTAGTTATAATGAAATAAAAGCATTTGCAGAAGCTCTTTGTGAAAATCGCACATTAATTTCTTTAAATCTTTCATATAATAATCTTGGTTTAAAAGGTGGGAAAGCATTAGAAAATACTCTTTGCAGAAACACCACTTTGATTTCTTTAGATCTTAGTCATTGTGAACTTGGTTCTGAGGGAGGAAAAGTGTTAGCAAATGCACTTTGCAAAAACAACACTATAGCTTCATTGGATCTTTCATCAAATAAAATTGGCTTTGAAGGAATAAAAGAATTAGCAAATGCTCTTTGTGAAAACAATGCTTTAACTTATCTGAATCTTTCATTTAATCAATTTGGTTATAATGAAGTACAAGTATTGGCAGATGCACTTTGTAAAAATAGCACTTTAACCTCTTTGGATGTTTTTGTTACTAAAGAACAATACGATTTTAACAAAATAATGATATTAGCAAAAGCCCTGGTTGAAAATCACAAAACTACTTTAGGGTTAAGATTAAACAAATTGACATCAATTATTCCTCGTCAGTATGACACTTCAAATCTTTCAAATAATCTAATTAAAGAGATAAATTTTGCAAATGCTGCTTCTGCTTCTTTAGATCTTTGTGTTAATAAAGTATCCGAGTCTAATGTAGTAAAAGTGCTAAAAGATAGTATTAAAGATTTGTTGTTATTTTTTTTTATTTATTATTTTTTAATAATTACCAATTATTTACTTTTTCTCTTATTTTATATTTCGCTTCATCATTAAATCCTGTTTCATTATAACTGGCAATATAACCGAAAGACTATACTCTGTTGCTTGAAATCATTAGTTGTAAAAATGTATAATTGTATGAATTCTTAGTCGCAAGATTACTGTGCTTGAAAAATGAGTATAAGCTATTTTATTTATTTTTTTTATAATTATCATTATACAAGTTGTTGTCATTAATTTAATGTTAAATAGTTCAAGTTTCTGAAATGATAATTTAATTGAGCAATTAAAAAAAAGTTAAGATACTTTGTGAATTAAAATTACTTATAACAATACAAATTGGATTACCGTATTGTCGCGAAATAACGGCATTAGCCAATTATCTCGCTTATCAAAAAATTTTTCTTAAAATTCCAAAGAAAGTATTTTCCAAATATGAATAAGTTCAGACGCCAACTCTATAAATTAGTCATTTCCAAAAAGCATTTACTAAGTGTAAGTAAAATATTAAATCTGAATACAATATATATAATAATACATATATTGTAATTTAAGTAATATTACAATATATACCGGTATATGTAAAATAAGAT